CCTTTAGATTATTTTACATATGGTCACCTGACCAGAGAATGAACTTTGAGGTCCTAACAAGATTATTTGAGTGACAGTTGGGTATTAGAATGGAAAATACAGTGCTGATGCACCTTGGGAAGCAGTAATAGCCTGTTTAGAAAATAAGACGGAAGGAAGAATGCTCTGTTTAGTAACCAGCCGTATGAAAATATATAATGAAAATATGCCTGCAGTGCAGCTGCGTGTGGGGAAGGCTGTTACAGCATTGCATTTGTTCCTGACAAAGCTGGAGGTGGGAAATGAGGGAAACCCTTGCTGCTTTAGAGGAGCAAGGAATTGTGTTCTCACCCCATCAGCTGATTTGCCTCATCTGCCCTGACCTTTCTGCTTTACCTCAGTAAAGGGTTGGTCTGGGTGATGCGTGTTCCCAGATTAGTTTTCCTTGTGAAGAGACTTGCTTTTGTAGCTACTTATCTTGAGCAAACTGCTGAAGAAAGAGGCTTGACTGACTGTTGTGGTGTGACTTGTTAGTGTAGCCCATGCTATCATGTTTCAGTCAGTTTTCTTTACAGCACTTGGTCTCTATAGGCTCTGTGGTACCGTCACATCTATTCTGCATCTGTTGAGTCCAGGCCAGTTCTTAAGAAAACGTTGTGTATTGACACAAAGCACTGTGGACAGTTTTAACTAGCCTGGGAGAACAAAAGAGTGTCAGTGCAAACCTGGCAGCCTCATGAAATGTTTGCTTTCATATTTTTTATAACAAAATCCGATGGATTTGTCAGTAGGAGATGTGAGAGCTCAGCAGTGCTTGGAAATTCCTGTCTATGGGAAGGAAAGCGTAGAGCAGTCAGAAATACCCAGAAATGTTGTCTTTTTTGCTTGCAAGTGAAAGGTCTGTGCGTGTGCACCAGGTCTTACCCAGTACTTACCCAGGTAAGTTTCTGTTGCTGAATCTGAACACAACCTTGTTCCCAGTGGCTTGAAACAGCAGATTTGGAAGGCTGTAGCTGTTCCAATTCATCTTCTGGAAGGAATCCTATTGTCCAATTTTGATGCCTGTCATATGTCCAGCGTTTGTTCTTACATGTTCATTGGGCAAATTTCTTTATCTGACCAAATGCTTTTCACATTAATTGGCTGCAGAGCTCGCCCAGATCTGACTAAATTGTATTTGTTTGTCTGGTGGACGTTCTTTTGGGTTTTCAGTGCAGTTTCCAACCCAAACTACTGAGGTTGTTCCTTATATATTAATCTGTTTGTCAAATTGTTCCTTCTTCTTTCTCATTCTTTGGAACACAACAAAGGTTTCTACAGAAATGAGGCTTTTTCTCAATAAACTGGTGATCAGAGCTCTGTGGTTTTGTGGCAGCAGCCCAGATCCAGTCCCCGTGTGACGTGGTGTGTTTGCCACTGGTACTTCTGGGAGTGCTGTTTGGTTTCTGTGACCTGTTGCCATTTCAGGGTTACACCAGCAAATCTCTGAGAAACAATGACCAAAAAAGCAAAAGTGATGCTGTATTGCACAGTGCTGACATGATCCTTAAATATATAAGTAGGAATGTGTTAAATTGATGATTCCCATTAGTGTGTGATGCCACCTGTGAGACAGAATCTTTTTCTCTCTCTCAGCTCTGTCTTCCACATTTTCAGAAGGTTGATGGAAAAAAATTTAGAGAAGGGGAAGGGCACAAAAAGCGGTGACTTTCAGCTAAGTCTATTAAAAGTTTCTTAAACAACAGATTGTCACATGTGTTAATGGAAAGAGGTAATGCCAGTAGTGTCTATTAAAAAAAAGTGCAAAAAGCTGTTTTAAGTGTTTGTAGTGGTTTTGGAGCTGAAATTCCTGTACTAATATATGTGTGTACGTGTGTATATTTCTGTTGTCAATTGTACAGTGATGATTGGCAGGTCATTATGTTTGTTGCCTGTAAAAATGTGTTTATTCAACTAATGCATAATTGCATGATTCTAAAATAGCTAATTTTGTGTGTTGCAAGCAATTTAAAAAATATTTAACACATACTGAAGGAGCGCAAGTTGCTCTGTGGTGCTTTTTAAAAGGGTCATGGTAGTGGCAGTGGGACATGGGATGCAAATTGAAACTAGTTCAGAGTTGAATTACTCATCTTAAAGTAGCATTTATGCAGTGTATTGTAGATTCTTGGTGAACCAGTAAAGTACTGCTTGGGGGTTTCTTTACCTAAGAGAGTTTTAAGAAGAAAATGTTATAACCTAGGAGTCATTCATAGTTACTTGTAATGTGTATCTATGAAATTCAGCAGATGAATAAACAGATCTATAAGGCAGCAGTCTCTTTTTTTATTAAAATGGATTAAACCATTGGAGAGACATGACTCTTCCTACTTGGTGTCCTGTAAAACTCTTAAGTAATATTCAGAGATAGTTCCAGGCTGACATTTGACACCTTTTTTATCTGTTGAACATCAGATAACTGAACCACAGCCACACAGCGTAGTTCTGTAGAATAGAGATTCTCTGGTATTGTTTTTTTCATTGACGTAGTCAGAAGAATAAATTACAGAAAGCAAACTGTGAAGTCATTTTTCTTGGATTTCAATATTAAGTAGCCCAAGACAGGATTACTTGTCTCTCATAATTGCAAATGTATTGCTGCTTAGCAATTAATAGTTATTTTTAGAAAATGGATTTTGTTCTGCTAACTGGAAAAAAAGCTGTCTCTCAAAATACTTACTATCATAAAAATTACCCTCAAAATAATATTTCTGCAAGTTTATTAAAAACCTTTTTCATTGTTTTTGTTCTGAAAATACACTTTTAGAGGGAACTGAGACAGCAAGCCTGTTGTCTTTTCTAGATAGTGATTCACATCAGGCAGTGTGTTCATGCACCCCCACCCTCACGAAAAAGGAAATTTTCAGGCTGTTCAGCGAGTTGTCTGCCTCTCTGGTGCAACGCTGCTGGATCTTCTCACAGTCTGTAGCGAGTTGTCTTTGTTACTGAAAGATGAATTCAGATGAAAATACTTGCCCCTGTGCACACTTCCTGATAGTTTTCAGAAAAAGCTGGCCTGTACTCAAGTGAAGTAATTCTGCAGTCACCTGGATGACTTGGCCATTACATGAGGGTGTGATTTGAATATTTAAATTTCTTCTTGGCATCTCCTTTACTTTAAGTGTCGATGGTTTCTAAGATGCATTCACACACCTTTGCAAGAGCTTTATTATACATATGCAGATGGTATGAGGACCAGAAGAATTTTTTCAGATGAAAAATGGGAGGCCTTTTATTATGAAGAAAAGCTTGATAATAACTAGTCCAGGTGAAATGTTAGGTGTACTGTTAACTATACATGGGAAAGCTGTATTAAAAGATGTCTTCAATTTTATTTCACTTTTTAATACATATGTGAGTTTATTCTGGCTGTTACTGAATTAAAAGTGAGGCAGTTATGGTCTGTTCTCTTTTTGTGATTAATCAAAGTTTGTGGTATACCCTGAGCAAGAAGTTGTAGTTACTCATTTTGCTGCAAAAGTTCACTTTTTTTTTTTGGCCAGTCTAGGCACTGGTATATCTGGTTTTGCCTGCTTGGTCATTAATAATTTGGTAGTATGGTAGTGTTTGGCTCTGTTTACATCAGCTAAATCACTCAGTATGGTTTCTGAAACTTCAACCCTGCTTCTGGTTGTAGTGTGAATGCAGTCTAAACACACGTGTGTGGTTAAGCATTTTGTCTGTTGAGAGTAACTGGCTGGGACTTGGCTTTTCTACAAGTTCTTTTAGCAGGTTTTTTCTCCCCAGAGCAATGGCCTTGGGCACCATGGTGACGGCAGTCAAGTGGCAAAGAAGCTGTTGTCCTGTTACCGCGTTTTAATAAGACTTCTTCTGAAATCCTGTTTTTCATGCTTCCCTCCATCCCATCCCCCTGCTTTTTTTGTTTTCCATCTCTTGGCATTGAGTGAACTAGATTCCTGAATCTATTTGAAAAACATTGGTTATAAGTGATTAATAATACAGTTCATTCCTTAATGTTCATTATTAGCAGAACACACCCATTACCTTGGAAACACTATTAATTAGAGTTGAATGAAATATATAGAAATAGATGTTAAGTATCTTTAAAAAAAAAAAAAGTTTAATGCATTTTAACTTGGACAGCTGTACTCCTTTTTCATTTTCTATGCCTTGTAATTAAACTGTGAAAGGGATAAAAAAAATGTTTTCTTAAAAATTAAGATGCATTTTTTGTAAGATAATATAGCCAATGTATATTGTGATTAAAGATTTTATATATGTATATATTACATACACACAGGTGCACACATCACTTCAAAGGAGTTGTTAGTGTTCAGTTACACAACATGCCCGTGGAAACTATGTCATTTGCTCAAAAGGAAAGAAAATGAATTTAGTACATTTTAGGTATGAAAATGCTGCAGTTGCTAGATCAAGGTGTGGTGGTGTGTGCAGAGCAGCCACGGGCGAGCGCTGCCCCAGCCCTGCCTGTGTGGCTGCTGGGCAGCGTTGCCCACGCACGGGGCTGGTGGGCTTCCACCCAAGAAACATCTTTTGCTTGCTGGGGAGAGCGCGCAGATGGGAAGTGTAAGGAATGTACTTTCCCCGCCCCGTTGGGGAGCACTGTGTACACTTAACTGAATACATTAATTTAATAATACTGTCTCTCTGCAGAGTTCATCCCAGGAAGTGAGATTCAAGCTTATGGAAAGGAGTTAGAGACTTCCAAAATAATAATTAAAAACCGCAAGCCAAAACCTTCTATCTGCATGAGCTGACCTAGAGCCGATGAGGAACTGCCTGTTGTTCTGAGGAGGCTAACTCTTTTGCGTTTGGTTGCATTGGGAATCTGAAGTTAATGCTCATGAGAAGTAAAATCAGAGGACGTGGGTTACTCGATGTACCTGAAGATTGCAGAGGCAGCAGTGAAAAGACAGAACTTCTCTTTGAAGCAGTAGCTCCATCTGTGTCTTATTGTGTGCACTGGGAACTGAGAGAAATAGCAGCCAACCTGGGAAAAAATGCCAGCTAAAGGTAAATATTTCTTCAACGAAAATGACGACTGCAGGATATCAGACCCGCTCTATGAGAAGTACTGCTATACAAGCCAGCAGCATCCGCTCCTGCTGTTGCTGCTCTTCATTGCAATCGTCTTCTGGACTACTCTAATTATAATCTTTTTTGTCACTGATGTAAGTATACTTTTTTCATTGTGTTTGATGTTATCAAAGATGATGAGGAATCACTGTAACAGCACACAAAACATTCCTGGCTAAATAGTTTTTTAAGCCACATGGCACCAAAGTTGCAGTGTTGAAAGAAATCAAGTAGTTGTGTATGTAATGCTGTGTGTGCTTTTGAAGGGAGAAGGAAGAGAGGAGACAGTGTTGTCAGACACATGCACAGTAACTATAAGGATTGTTCTTTCCTTCCTGTATGTTATGAACAAATCATAATCTATGCTAAATGGTAGCTACGGTAGTAAGGAAGTAATAAAAAGGCTAAGGAAGGAACAAGAACATAAGTTAAAATGTCCTGTATTTCTCCTATTTTCTCTTTAGAGTAATCTAAGAAGTACAAAATAATGCAGTGATTCATTGCCTATGAATTCATGAGGTGATTTTTTTTTAAAGATATGTAGATATTCATTCCTATTCTTTTTTTTTTAAGGAATAAAAACACAACAGTGATCTCCCAGTACAACGGGTGATCCATTGCATCAATAGTTAGCAAAGATCAGGGATCCTATATGCATAGGAAAGATACAGTTTAAAGAATTTTTCATTGTGTAGCATAACATGATTTTCTGTAAAGAAATAAGGTATTCTTCAAGCCAGCCCAGTTGACAGGTGGTAAAAAGGAGAATTGATTTGAAGATAATGTTGTAAAAAGGTAATAAAGGAAGCTGTTGTAATCCTTCATTGCCTTCTAACACTGCTTTCCAAGTACTGTTCTTCATGATAAAGTGTCTTTAAGTCTCTCTTTAGCAGCAAATCTCATCTTACCAATTGTGTGTGTATCCCTTTTTGCTTTTATTTCTAAAAAAAGAAAGAAGTAGAAATACTGTTTGTATATTACAAGTTGTCTGCTGTAAAACTTAGGAAAAAGCTGATACTTTCCTTTCTAGCAAAGCTTGAGCTCCTTAAATGCATTTCCTTGGGCACATCTGCATCGTACAATACAGGATAGTTACAACTTAGCTTAAAAGGCAAAACCACGAATGTGGGAAATAATAACAGAACTGGGGTAGACTGGGTATTTATAATAGTAGTTATTATATTATCTCTGTATGTGTGAATATCAGAAGGTGTTAATGCTGCCACAGCTACACTACATAGGAGCTCAGGCTAGCATATTTCAAAGCTATCTAAGCTGTTTCCAGGACAGTTATAGATGCATTTTCCATTTTTTTCTAGAGGGGACATTTAAACTAAATATAACACTTTGTTTTGCTTTTGCAGGAGGCATATTATCATCTTGCCTTCATTATTGCAGTATGTGCTGCTCTTGTCATATTTGCAGTCATGTACTTACTTTTATGCATTGAATCCCTGTTTCGGAGATGGCTAACGTTATTTGGAATTATGATTTGGATTTGCTTCTTAATCATAGGATATGTATCCCTTTTTGAAAAAGAAAACGATTATCAGCTGTGGGAACAGGTATGTATATCTTGTACATTCAGGTACTTAAATAAAACAGCTAGCCAGTATAGATGAATGTCTTTGTGTGCGTTATTTTTTCTGAATGTTATAACTGCAAACTGCATAATAATTTTTTTTTGAGATTTAGGTTCACTTTTCTAAACTGCTTTTATTGGTTTATTATACTCAATTTTACTTTGTATTTTTTATTATACTGAAAATACAGTTCAGCTGAGAAAATTTGATAACTACCTAAATCTATACGGGAACTGCATCTTTAAGTTGTAATTTAATTGTATTTTTATTTAAGATTTTTGCGAAATCTTAATTACTATGAATTCATGTTTAAGAGAATTTTTCATTAATAATACTTGCTTTGTTAATTTACATGGGTCAAAGTGGTGCTCAAGAAATGTATAAAAGACTCTAGAGCTGGGTGTGCCATAGGGAGCATGTTTTTAAACCAGTGAGAGAGGTGAAGTGAACAATAAGAATTAATGACACATCCTGGCATAGCTGGGTGTGGCTAAAGTTCATTGCTTAGTATCTCTGATCAGAAGACGGGCGATTTCATGATGCCAAAAATATAATAATCTGTAGGAAACTCCTCCTAAGCTCTCATAATGTAAACAGAAGAGTTTTTAATGAAATAAAAATGTCTTTTTATCTTGTTTTACTGACTCTTCCCCTTCCCCTCTTTATTTCAAATAAAGAAAGATATAAATTATCAGTTAAACAACCAAAATCTGATTTGTATTATGGCCTGGATCCAGCAACATGTATTTACAGTTGCTATTCAGTATTCTTTAACTTAAGGAAGAAGCTATTACCTTAGGAAAAATCAAAATTTACTGTTCTTAACTGTAAGTAAAACATGTGACGATGCAAGAGTTGGTTTTGTCGCATTCAGTGCTGCAAGCCCATGTCTTGTGTTGTTGTCATGTTCTAGTAATTCATTAGTGTTGATTTAAAGCCTAAAATTTAAGGAGACTCTAGATTAGAAAGTAGAAGTGAATAGGTTCATTTCAGACTTTCATCTCAAGTTATGAATTTATCACTAGTTACAGCTACTGTTTAAGTGCAGGTATGACCTTTGCTTATCCATGCTTATAAAACTATTACACAGAGTTCAGAATATTGTGTGATAGGGGTTGAATGTATGGCAGAAAAAGATCTTTTTAGTCCATGTAAAATAGTGAAGATGAACATGAAAAGATTACTTTTGTTGAATAAAAACTTTTATTTGCTTGTTTGTTTGTTTGCTGTTATCCCAACCAAGTTATCTATTCTGGCAAAACATCTAAGTGCATTCTGGGCCTTGAGACTTCCTTGAAGGAAGCTCATGTCTGGAATGGCACAAGTTGGACTGCAATTATGAAGTGGAGCTGAGCCAGGAACCCTGCAATATTTTCCTCTTATCAGGGTTGTTAGTTTCCATATATATGGGCTAAACACTATAACAAATCTATAAATATGGATTTAAGTTTTATAGACCTTCCTTTTGATCCCTAGCAGTTTAGCGGACCATTGTGATTTCGCAAAATCTGTGCAGCTAAATATGTAGTTAGTGGCAATAATGATTATTCTCTCATGTCAGCACCAGGAAGCATGGGTTGGATTTTTGGTTTTTATAAAATATAGACTTAATACACACACATAGTCAGGTGATGTTAAAATTAGAATAATAACTTGGAGAAGGTGAGAAATCTGATTTGATTCGATATTGCTGTCCTTACAACACATTGTTCCTGATATGTGATGTAGAAACCACATTTTCAGCTGTAATGGATAAATTAAGGATGAAAGGCAAAGACAACCAAAAAATATTAAAGGTGATACATCACATTAAACTGTCTTATCTATGAATCTATACCTGCTAATTCCCTCAAAGCTTTTAGGCCTACCACTGTCCTTCTGTTTTAAACTGTGCTTTTGAAATGAAAGAATCATAGTTGGAAGGGACCTCAGGAGATCATCCAGTCCAACCCCCCTGCCAAAGCAGGTTCCCTAAAAGTTGCACAGGAAAGCATCCAGGTGGGTTTGGAACATCTCCAGAGATGGAGACTCCACACCCTCTCTGGCCAGCCTGTTCCAGGGCTCCGACACCCTCACAGGAAAGAAGTTTTTCCTTAAGTTTGTCTGGAACTTTCGGTGTTCCAGTTTTTGCCATTTGCCCATTGCCTATATGTCAGTATTTAATTGTTCAGCCTGAAAATGAGCAAGAATCCTGCTCCTTTCCTCCTTATTCTGAAGTGATTTTTGGCAGGCACCTAATAACATGTATGTGTGATGCTTTTCTTTTTTTTTTTCTCTCTTTCTTTCCAAAGGTTCCATTCTTTCTATTCATAATCTTCACAGTTTATACCATGCTACCCTTTGGGATGAGAGGTGCTGTCATAATTAGTGTTCTTTCTGCTCTCTCCCATATTATTGTTCTAAGCATTGTGGTAAGCATGACTTCTCAGGAAAATAAGGAATCCATGCTGTTTCAGGTAAGGAAATACTACTTGGTTAAGTAATTAAATATCCTAGTTGTATTACCATTTGATATTGGCATAACTCTCCCGTTTAGAAAAGTTCCAAACTTCCACATGGATGTTCCCAATTAATGGATTTGGAGCTTGGGCCCAATGTGTTTTGCATGCTAATTGCAATTATTTTCATTTATAATGCATTTTGGTTTTCTGACCTAAGTGGAAGAAGCAGAATTATTATTTTAATTTTTTAACTAAGTTACTGAAACTTTGACAAACTTAGTCACAATCATACTTCCCAATCGGTGCTGTTTCAGATGGATCCTATCTAACTTCATCTGGCACTGCCTACAGGGTGGATCAAAAGGGCCATTGCTGCCCTGGGGAGTCAGCAGGGCCTGGGAATGCTACTGGGTGCTTTCAGGGTTCCCAACACTTATTAATAGGGTGTGTTCAAAGGAGCACCCCAGCTCTTTTGATGTAGGTGTGTGTCAGACTTCACACAGCATGCTGATGCATGAGTTCGTAGACTGGTTTCTCCCTAAATCAAACACTGGTGCCTGCAAATAAATGTGAAATGATATAGCAGAATTTTCTGATTCATTCCATTACTGTATGGTTGTACAAGAATGCCTGTGACTGTGAAAGTTAGCTTGTGTTTCCCAGGTACATCCTGACTAATTGCAACACTATGATTTGGTGTGTGACAGGGTAAGAGAAAAATTGAATATGGCCTGGGATCGATGGTTTTTAAGGGACTAGTATGTGTATCGGTGAAGTATCAGTGACTGTTCTGCAGTACATAAATGTTTTTCTTCCTGTGCAGCTCCTTGCCAATGCTGTCATTTTTCTTTGTGGTAACTTGATGGGTGCATTTCACAAACGCCAAATGCAGGTTGCTTCGTGGGATTTGTATAGATACACATTAAAGTGCATTCAGGTCCGAATGAAATTGAAAATTGAAAAGAGGCAACAAGTAAGTGAACTAACTCATGTTACACATTGCTTGTTTTCATTTCTAAAGTCCACATAATTTTATGAGGTTGGTGACTAATGCATGTTGAAAGGCTTGGTCCAATCTTTGTGATACCCACCTAGTGTCAAAAATAAAAGTTGTGCCATTTGTAACAAAAGAAGGAAGTTAAAGGGAGGAAGCTGTTCTCTGTGGCTTGTCTGTATGAAAATCACAGTATTTGTAACAGGAATGTAACTGCCAGTTATTTTAGCTACTTTTTTCCTGGTATAAAATGCTACAGAGACTGACCCAAGGTAACCAAAAGAACAAATACTGGTAAGGTAATTCCAGCTGTTAGCTTCTTGCTTACCTTGGTTGCATTTTTTTTTTTTAATTCTCAAATATTATTTGTTCTTGTATTTTCTTGTCTCACAAACTGTTTTTCTTTTGCTAGAAGGAGAAAATTGGAGCCTATGGGAGAAAAAAAAATATCATATAATACATTACAGTATTTGAGTATGACCGTTTATTTCCATAGACTGCAGTGGTATTTAAAGAATAAGCAAGGGACATGAATATCTTACTGAGGAAGAATTGTAAAGTATCAAAGCTGAAACTAGGGCGCCTTTCCTCCTTATCCTGGTGTAAGTAGGGTTCAGAATAGCAGCTCTAGAATGCTGACGTGTACAGAGTTCTCTGCCCACCAGTTATTAAATAAAAGGAAGGGGCTGAAAAGTGACTGACTTGATCAAATTGAAAAGAAGAAAATGGCAGACTGCTAGTGTGATCTGTCCTCTGATGGTAATCGTTTGAGATGAGATGACAAATGTGCATGAAAGTCCTGGCAGAATTTCCCCACACAGCAGCCAGAGAAGCATCTAATCAGCTTACACAGGCAGTGTGCTCTTGTTCTTTGGGCGATGTGGTAACTTGCATGGGTTGTTTTTTTTAATGGTTGCTTGTTTGAAGTGTAGATGTGCTTAAGTCTCTGGACAGCTTTCTTTTCATCTGTGTTGTAATTTGTCACACAATTTTTTGAGTCTCCTTTTTGCCACCCACTTTTTCTCTGTGAAAACTATGTGAGAAATGCAGTTCAGGGTTCATATCAGTTCCTTGAAAACTGTGTAATGTGTCAGCCTCAAATGGCCCCGTTACATTCACCGGGGCTCTGCTCACAGTTTAAATTGTTCCCCAAGGTTGCCTCTCCTTAGAATGAAAGTGCTGGTGGTGAAGGAGGTGTTTCTGTTTCTGGGGGCAGTCTCAAACTCAACTGCTGTCTACACCTAGTGTAGTCCAGTAGTAGATGCTCAAGGAGTCCCTCTTCCCACTGGGATCCCAAGGCATTTCTTTTTGGCGGCAGGTACTGGTTAAGTAACCCTGGCAGCTTACTGCCATCTGTATGCTGCTGCATCGGGTATTTGGGAAAAGGGGAGAAAGATTTGGTCCAAAGGGACAGCATTTGACTCAGTTACACAATGTGTTGACCTTGCTGGTGATGTCATCTGAAAAAGTTCCTGCTTGCAGCTGCTCGATGCAACATTTCCTCTTCTGTGGTGTCTCTGGGGTGGTAGAGCCCTTCCTGGGTTAAAAGTACTCTCTTTTTGTCTTCCTCTTCTGCCTGGCACAATTTATCAGGGTCATCTTTGAAGAACAGGCTTTTAAGTCAAAGCCAGTGTAAAACAGTCAACACTTTTGTATCTGTTGCTGCTTTTCCAGCATTTGGGAATTCATAAGGGTTTTTAATACTGCATAGATTGTTCATTATAGAATATAAGTTTTTACTAGAAGCTTTATCAGACAATGCTAACATAACACAGAGATTGGTGGAAACAATAAGTTTTCATTTATCCAGAAATTGTAGTGCTGAATACTGAATTGTGGTGTGTTTCATGGTTATGGAGAGCTGTCATGTCTAGGTCACAAGGAACAAAAACTCTTAACTGTAAAATCAGTGATTTTGAGAGCAGAAATGTAAAAGTATTTTCTGGAAAACGTGACAGGCATTGCTTAAAAACTATTTGAATAAAGACATTTTATTTTTTTAATTCCTTCTTACGGTCACTAAAATCCTGCAGTTTTAAATTTACTGTGTTATGCATTTTTCATCATACTTTTTTTTTTTTTGCTTCTCCTTTTAGGAAAATTTGCTTTTGTCCATACTGCCAGCTCATATCTCTATGGAAATGAAGCTAGCAATCATAGAGCGACTAAAGGAGACTAATGATAATAGACAAATGCATGACAACAACTTCCACAGTCTATATGTAAAAAGGCACCAAAATGTTAGGTAAGTGGAAACTCTAGAAGTAATTGTATTAATATAAGCTGCTGATTCTTAGCAGTGTATCTGGTCCAGTGAAACTAAAATTTGGAGGTGAACTTTCACGCTGAAGTGAGCTGCTTTCCTGTTTTGGGAAGATAAAGTGTCCTGAACTGATGTGCTGTCTTCTGAATCAGCTGAGATACTTGAGCCCTTTTTTTCTGGAGTTGTTTTCCAAAGAGAGAGGTGCTTTCTGTTAAATGTGTTTTAATATTTAAGCTCTCTGTGGAACAGATGTATCTTCACCTCTCAATTTTGTTGTTTTTTCCTTTTGTTCTTGCCTAGCATTCTTTATGCAGACATCGTAGGATTTACTCGCCTTGCCAGTGACTGCTCTCCTAAGGAGCTAGTAGTGATGCTGAATGAACTTTTTGGAAAGTTTGATCAGATTGCAAAGGTAGGTGTTAGTTTGTTGTGCAGTAGGGATAAAGACCTCCACTGGAAAAACAAGGAGTCTTTTCTGCAAGATGGAAGGCAGTTGGTGTTAGTGCTTCTGAAGTCAGGAAAGGAAGACTGCTTTGGCTTTAAAGCTAACTAGCAAAATCACATGAAAACAAAATTTAAAACAAAAATAGGAAATTTAGCAGGTTGTTACTGTAATGCCAATTCTTCAGTCTGGAAGTTTGTCTGTATTGTTCAGGGAATTGTCTGGTGGCAATAATGATTGTAATAGGGCTGTAAGAGATACTGTGTACAAGCTCTGTTGAGGAGCTTTGCTGTGTTCAGTTAGGATTGTTTTTTGGCTGTACAAATGAAGAACTCTCAGGCTCACCTTTAAATTAATAATTTCAGTCACATTGCATCAGACCAAGGAGTTCTTTAGCTCAGAAGTAGTAATTTGTAATGGATAATTACAGAAAAGCACAGGAATGGGAAGTAGGTTAAAATGGTCCCTATTAAGGCACCCTCACTCTAGAACCTTCAGGCTGCAGTAGTTCTGACCAATTCCAAGTGCTGTTTGACGTTAATTTATTTGCAGCTGTAATCACAAAGTGAATTCTCAGGTTACAGGGACTGTATCATATACATTTTTGCATGATTGACTCTGTGTGATGATTTCTGTCATCTAAAACTGACCCTAATCTTGCATATACGTTCTGTCATATCCATTGATTTTTCTGTTAGTATTATCAGGCAAATATGCTTTTAGGTAAATAAACACTGCATTTGTTACATCCTATGTGGCATCAAAAAACCAAATACCAACCCAAATTCTGGTTGTAGAAATTTAGTATTTAGCATAAGTCAGGACTAGTGACTACCTACCAAAACTTCCCATGGTTGAAAGATGTTGATTTGATTTCATAATTGAGTATATTTGGATATACTGAATGCAGATTAGGAAATTAATTGTAAAATCTTGTTTTTGTGAAATTCTAAAAATTTTTCAGAAAAAGTGGGAAAACTCTAAAATTATTAATATAGCAGAGGAGTGAAATTGCTTTAATTAAACCTTTATGGATGCCATTGAATAAACTCTTAAGTATATCACTGATTAAAGCCTGTCTAAAATCCTAGTTAGCCTTTTTTGACTAAATGACATTGCTAATCTTTGTATGTATATGAGTTCAGTTGCTGTTAAAACTTCAAGTACTGGAAAATGAGTGTCATACTAACTGTATTGTAATTGTGCTGTTGTGAAGCAGCTATTAAGAACACACAGAATAAGTCATGTCATCTTAGGTGCCACCAGCTTTTTATGCTACGGTAGAAGCTGAGGTTAAAGACATTTGGTCATTTTTTGTAACTGTTCTTAAGATACAAAAATAGAAAAGATTCCAGATTTTGAGTGATATGTTTTAATTTCTCACTCCGGTTTGCAAATTGCACTGTTTAAAAATGTCTGGATTTAGTGAGTCAAGGTCTTTTGCAACTCTGTGGTTGACCCGTAAGAAGAGATTCCTGCTTTTTGTGTTATTTTTATTCTGCTGGGGAATATTCTCGGTCATCTTTTCCGTAATGTAAAGATGTTGTAGGCTTCAATTTACCTAATAAATGTTGATGGCTAACCTGGATGTTGAAGTCTAACAGCTCTAATCTAGGGCTAGATTCCCCTGTTGATCTCTGAAACTAAAGCACAAGGCTATCTAAGCTCATCGCTTGCTGCAATGCTCAGAACCTCCTGGATGATTTACGATGGTGGAGAGCGATGGATATTGTATTCAAGCTTTCACTGATGAGGAAGAACAGCTTAGTTTGGTAAAAAAAAAAGCTTTCATTGATGAGGAAGAACAGCTTAGTTTGGTAAACTGTCACTGATTTGGGCTGTTTGTAAATTAGGGTGTTTTGGTGCTGAGCTGTTCGTGCAGGAGGGAGGGTTGGGCAGCTGAAGGTGTCAGCTGGCCCAAGTTAAGCCAGCTCTGCTCATCAGTAGAACAGGTACAGCCTCCCAGAATTAGCCCTGGCTTGCTTGCAACCTTTGTAGTTAAAATTCTTCGGTAATGTTTTAACAGAAGACAGTTAAGAGCAATTTGCTCTTCCCCTTTTCTCTCTCCAGCCAGTAATGGGCAGCACTATCCTCTGTTGCACAGTTAGGAAAAAGTTTTCTGCTGCCAGCTAGTGTTGCGGGTTTTTTGTCAGCAATAGCAAAGTGTGTGCTGGCTTCCTCTTCAGTCATACTTGAAACAAAAAAACCTATTTTGCTTCTGTAAAGCTACAAGGTTGGCCATCTTAATTCCTAACTTCTCATTTTTTCTTCATTTTTTCCTGTTAAATATGTTTACTGTAATTTCACAGGAGAATGAATGCATGAGAATAAAAATCCTGGGAGACTGTTACTACTGTGTCTCTGGCCTACCTGTGTCCTTACCGGTTCATGCCAGGAACTGTGTTAAAATGGGACTCGACATGTGTGAAGCAATAAAGTAAGTATAGCACAGAAGACTTCTTAATGTATCAAGCTATTAAGATATTGAGTGATGTAATTCTTAGTTTTCTTGTCAGCATTCAAAGTGTGTTTGTTAGCTGTGGTTGGATAGTTATGCATTAGATCGTAAGTTTGTCTCTTGTGTTTGCTACTAAGTGTGTAATGAGACTAAACCTTAACGGATCTCCAGGAGGAGGAGAGAAAATTAAAAGTGTAACTCTTATCAGAATCAAAAGTGTAACCTCCTCCCTCCACAGGCAAGTGAGAGAAGCCACAGGAGTGGATATCAACATGAGGGTTGGTATTCATTCTGGGAACGTGCTGTGCGGCGTGATCGGCCTCCGGAAGTGGCAGTATGACGTCTGGTCGCACGATGTGTCCCTGGCAAACCGCATGGAGTCTGCGGGTGTACCTGGGTGAGCATCTTCCCTGTCGGTGCTCATTCACTCTGTCATGGTTTTAATAGTCCTGGTTTATGAGTCTGGAATTTGTAACTGTGCCATGACACAAATCCTCATAATGAGGTGATGAAAGTAGGACAAATGTGTGTGCCTACCAGAGCTGTAAAATGTTAGTATTTTCTGATTCTGTTTTAAATAATCTATAAAATTCTATTCTTAGGCAAGTGACCACTGCTTGACTTTCCCTTCATTGGAGAAATTTGTGCATCTTCAGCAGTGCATTGTGTTAACTTAGTTAATTCATATTGTGCAAATACCATATTTGTAAATTTAGCTAAAGAATAGATATGGTACTTATGTTGACAAGGCAAAGCTGCATATTTACCTACTGTTTCTGTTAATATCCATCAGTCTCACTTGATTTGTATTAGCTCTGTATTCACCACTCCCCACTCCTCAAGGAAACCCAGCTCAGAAATGAAAATGCATCCTGATGAGGAGCACCCAAGCAAGGAGAGTTTGGAGCTGTTGGTTGTTGCATGTTCTCTCTGCATAGCATTTGCCATAGGCAGAAGGAGAGGGAAACTGAGTAGCCCTGAGTGGATGGCAAAGCAGTAGTGTAAGTTGCCATGTGCTGCTGAGCAGTGCAGAGGGTTGGGTCTGAGGCTGATACCTTTTTGAAGGCAGCATGCTGCCTTTTTGAAGATGCTTATTGAAAAGTACAAATATAAATGTTTTTAAAAAAACCACTAGCATTTTATATTTTCCTCATTTAGGAAAATTTTTTTTCTAAGTTGAACTTGGAGATTAGAATTCAGCTAAGAAACTTTTTTTTTGGTAGCCAGCACCAAAAAAGACCGTATTAAGAGATTCCCTTTTTCCATTCCCAAATGAGACTGCGATTTTGTAGGTTGTTGGTAGTCTGTGCAAATTAGTACTTATTAATTGAATGACATTCATGTGGCTATATGCTTAAGCATTAAAGTATTGGTTTCTCTTTGAAAGTGATTCTAACCAGTGACATTATAGGGTTTCTTATTATTTCTGTGCCTCAGAAGCTTTTAGGTATATGCTTGTAAGGTAAAAATTTCTGCAAAGTGGTAAGGGAATATGAAACAGAAAGAAAACTAATAGGAGCCTGGTTAACAGTTGCATTACCTTCCAGGTTGAATGTTTTAGTGTGTTGACTCACCATGATTAAACAAGAATATAGAGTTGTAAAGTTTCTTCTGTTGGTAAAGCAAACACGACTCTGAATATGACACAAACCCATCCTTTTCTTAGTTAGGTTTAGGACCATTGCCCAATCTTGAAAACTTTGATTATTCCTTTACATTCTTCATGCTTATGTTTGATGATCTGTTAAAGAATAAAGCTGGTTTAGGTTGGCGTGCTGATTCTAAAACATTGCACTTAATCTTACATGTATCTATACATGTCTAGCACTCACTTATCATTCGTGGATGACTGAGCTTTATAGGGAGGATGGGTTTCTATTTGTTATGTAAATGTTATGTTATATTTATTTCCTGCTCCGCAGCAAAATGATGTGTCTGGGATTCCCCGTTCCAATGTTAGATAGTTTCGCTCCTTTGGAAGCAGAAGTTTTGTCATTGGGAGCAGTTTGAGGTTTTTATTTAAAACAGGAAGTATGTATGTTTTGGGTGTCTATAAATGAAGGGATTGTAAAGACTTTTGAAAGGATGCAGAAAAACTTTAGGTTTTGTAAATATTTTATTTCCATTTACAGAGAATCCTTGTTTATATTCTATCTGATTTTAAAAATTACTTGCTTTCATAACAATGCCAAACACTAGTAAAGCAGAAAGGACTAGCATAAAACCAAAATAAAAAATGCATTTATGATCAATTCTCTCTAATATGTATATACCTGAAAGATCAGACTATGTTATTCTCAGGCCTGTTAGCATAGGAAATTGAGTGCAGCGTGTTAGGTATTCTGCACTAGCGTGGTTAAATGCAATAGTGCATGTTACAGCTTGCCTTGGTTATATGCTGCTCCTGGAATCTAGTAAGCATTAGTAACTGCTGAGAAATCATCAGCGTAGTAATTTAAATTGAAAGAAGTTTGCAGTAAGATCTGACATTTACGTCAGTGTGTGAAGAGGGGCGAAGAAGCTTGGGAAATGGAAAATGGTGGATAGTGAACAAATGTTCTGCCTTTTGAGGTGAGTGGAAAACCACAGAAAACTTGCTGCAGTACTTGACTCTGTTTTAAGGCTCAGTTAATAAAGACATCACACAGTATGTCTCAGTCCCTATGGGAGAAAATGATGCTTTAGAGCAAACTTTAAAATTTCAGGTTTCAAGGCTCACCTTGATTGCAAAACTGCATATTCAAGGTAACAATTAAAAACCCATTTTTTTCAGACAGTTACCAGTAAACAAATAAACCCACACATCCTTTATATTCCAAAACACTTACCTTTTGGCTCCAAAAGGATTGAGGAATTTCCTGTTCTTCCTTGTGGGAAGCCACAGCCAGTGATCTCCAGGTCTTGGCTAAATTATCGTTGGGCAAACCTACATGCAGCATAAGGAAGTAGAGGAGGATGGGACAGTGATCCCCTTGCTCTCTGTAGTTAGGCAGGAGTGTTGCACACTGTCAGCTTCCATTCTGGAAATGTTCTATTCCCAGCTCCGTGCTGACGGATTGTAGGACCAACAGCACAGTGTTTAACCCCTCTGTGCCAAAGCAAAGTGAGAAAAGCTGTGGGAAGATGAACAACGAGAAGAGAGAGTATAAAAAAAGAAATGCTGTTTTATGAGCACACTCGGGTTCCTTGTTGAGAAACTCTATGGAAAGTTAATACCCAGAATTTATATTGAAATACGTGATTTGGGATACTGAACTAAATTATGTTTAAGGGAAAGTGTGAATGGGTACAGAAAAATACTGGCTGCTCCCCTTAGAAGTGTGTTGCTGTTATGCTCTCCTCTGATTGTTCCAGTCAGAAAAGACTGACTTTCAGAATTATTGTCCTAGTTGACAAAAAACCTTTTTTGGCTTTTTTTCCAGACTTTGTAACCATCTCCTCCCCTCCTCCTGCGTTTCTAGCATAAGACAGTCCTCGCTTGTGTTTTCTTTGTGAGCTTTCCTTGTGGCTCTTGCCATCTGAAACAACCTGCCTGTGAGTCTGTCTTGTCAGTCATCAGATCTCCTTTGATCACATTTCTTCTTGTTTCTTACAGGTCTCTGCTTATTTCAATTTGATTTTATACCGATACTGTCTCATTCTGGGAAGTGTTTTTTAGCATACCTGGTACGAAAGATGTGCGATTAAGAACTGCAGTAAAGGATTGTAAATATGTTTTTTAAGTACTGGCATGATTTTGCAGTTGCTGCCAAAGCACAAGATGGCTGAAAAGCAGAAATGTCAGCAGTAGCCATTGAAATGTAAATGAAATGCTTAATGTGACCTTTCTGTAAGTGTTTGGGTCTCTTGTTTGTTCTCCCCTTCTCAGCCGTGTACACATCACTGAAGCAACGTTAAATCACCTAGGCAAAGCTTATGAAGTAGAAGAAGGGAATGGACACCTGAGGGATCCTTACCTTGAATCCATGAATATCAAAACCTACTTAGTGGTCGATCCAAGGGTATGTGTATGTTTTTAAACATGTATATTTATTCAAATATTTACATACATTTTAAGTACATAGGTGTCTGCAGTCCATATACTTTTCAGGAACAGAATTAAAGCATGGTATGAGTCATCTGAGTAGCTTGGACTTGGGACTTCAGATCTGAAAGCACGTTTTGTGACATGACTATTAGCTTGAAGGTAGTAGGTGTTCTGCTAAAACCTCTTATGTGGTGCACACAGAGTAAAAATACATATTTTACTATGTATTTGTGTGAAGTGTGTCTCAGAAATCTAGGTCAAAAGGTGAGATGAAGTAATGAAAGAATACTTGTGCTGTGTGGCCACTTTCAGATAAAATATTCCCTGTAAAATAGGGAATATAAAATAGCTCCTGACGTCTTCGATGTGAGATTCACCTTCTTTTCAGTGTGTAAAGATAGAAGCTGTTAGTTGCCCCTTTAGAGCCTGGTAACTGCAAACACACGGAGTATTGCTATATTGAATTGGCTTGTGGTTAATGAGTAGAATATTTCAAAAGAAAAAAGAATGAAAATTACGAACTTCTTTCCTTCAGGATCTTTACGGGAAGGAACAGTCTAGAGCCACTTTGAATTAGCAAGAGCTCAATCTTACCTTTGTTGCATGTTTATGTACTGAACACTGCAATCCCCCCTGCATGTTCGCAACACACATTCTCAGAATGAGTTTCTACATCTATTAAAATGGTGCCTGCTCACTTGAAGACACCTGTGACATGTCAGACAATAACCAGCCATCGATGTATCTGCTTATTCTGTAGTTTCAGCTTCCTTTTAGGCCCGCAAGGGTATTGCTGTATGCCCTGTATGTACGGCCTGACTCTGCATCTCTGATGTAGGGATATAATCTAATGTCGAGTCTGTAATTTGTGGGATCTTCTGCCAACCACTGTTTTCATACGCCCTAGCTCAGGAATTGGGAATCTTTTTCCCCTGCTGTTGTGCTGACTGCAAGGTAATTGTATCTCCTCGTAAGATCCTGCGATCTCTCGCATCATCGCAAATAAACCTGGAAGCTTTAATCTTGCAGTGTTACAAGCAAAGGCTTGTAAAGGCAGCTGAAACAAATTCATTATGTCATGATTTGCTTTAGCTCACATTAATTAAATGAGATAAAGGAATCGAGGTTGGCTGACACATTGCTGATATGTGTTTAGAGTCCTTTAAAACAGCTTGATTTTATAGTCCTAAACTACGGAAGTGCAAGAGCTTCATTTCTTTGTAATTTGTGTCATTTTCTGTTTTCTAAATTAGTGTGTTTTTTCTGTTAGTCCAAACAATGCGTATCAAATAATCATCTGCCTAAAACAAGAGTTAATGATGGGCTGAAGATGCGAGCATCTGTTCGGATGACACGTTATTTGGAGTCCTGGGGAGCAGCCAGGCCCTTTGCCCACCTGAACCACAGAGAAAGTGTGAGCAGTGACTCTTCAGGCTCACAGGGAAGGCGAAGAAAGGTGAGGTTTGAAGTAATGATGTCATCCTACAATTGTGAACTGCTGTGGTGTAAAACTTGAAATCTGGCATGGTCTTTGTGGCTGAAGTTCTGCTATTACTCTTGATGTTAAATGTGTACACAGAAGTAAGAAGGTGTCTGTGCAACAACTATTTCTGTCAGAATTTAACAGTATTCAAGCTGCCAATCTCTGGCATGCTATACTCATAGTAAACCTTTAAAGTAAAGCTTTGAAACTATCTTATCCCCCCCCCCTCCACCCCCTCCCGACATTTTTCCATCTTGTGGTCCTGTTTGCTACGTGTAGTTTTGTAAAAAAGATAATTTATCTCAGCCTCCAGATTGCACTCAACATTTACTTAAAATATATAGAAAATAAACAGCCCCTCCACATGCTCCATCTGCAATGGGGTTTTATCAGTAAAGAATTTTTAAGATTAAGAATTCTTAAAATTTTTCAGATTTTAAAATTTAAGAAAACTCATTTTTCTTTCCATCTGCCCGTCCTGAAAGCTGAAAGGAGAAGATGTGCATGCTTTTAGGTGTGCTTCTGGAGGTGCAGCAAGGCTGTGTTACTCTCTGTAGACAGATAGCTGTAGTAAATTTTAAATTAAGTGTCCATCCATTCAAGTTTGTGGAAGCGGTTTCCAGTCTACTTGCCTCTGCTGATGTAAGTTATTTCAGTATGTGGAGAAAAATAAGAGGGAATATCTGTTCAGTTATTTTCTAACAATTTTTTTGGTCAGACAATGCTCACTTGTTAAAGCAGAAAACCATTGCTGGAAGAGGTTGATTTTGATTAGCTTTTCTATTTGAGAATGGTTGGTTCTTGATTTTTATTTGTGAATACAAGTGGTTTTGGCAGCTTCCTGAAGTTTATTTTCAATAGTTGTTTGCCATTTACTGAGTGTGTAACTTATTCTTAATTCCTTATTCGATTTAGGAAATACCTTTGTGTTCCACTGGGCGCCAGAGAACTTCTGATAGGTTTGTCAAGCACTTTTGTTTTTTAAAATACATGATCCTGTGCTCCTCTTGCAGTCAGTGTACTGCAGAGCATGTGATCATTTGATTAATCCCTGTGTGTATGGTATTCCTGCATTAGAAAGTTTAAGCTAAATCTTTGGCCTTTAAAGGCTTCTCAATTCATGTTTGTTATTTTTAGCAGACTCTAAAAGGAGTCCCCCTTGCCCCTTCATTTTACTGGCCCCTCAGTCATTCAGGTTGCATTTTGCTTTATGTGCTGTAGCAGGATGGGAGGGGAGTAGGGAAATAAGACACCAAGAGAGCAGTGGAAAACACAACACCTCATATATTGTGTACGTGTATATATTGTAACCACTTGTGCTACCTCAGCTTTTAGTTTTCTTACCATTTTGTTTATAAATATTATAGTACAAAATAAATACAGTTTAACATAATACTATAAGCAAACATATATTCTGTTTTATGAGATATGTCTTTGGTTAGTAGTATTAATGTATGCTGTTGTAATGTAATAAAAAATTGACACTATGTGTAGAAATGCTTACAATGGTACCTGTACCACTGAGTTGACTACCACTTGTGAAACATTCTCTTAGCTTATCAAAATATTCTCTTGAAAAATGCATGATGTGAGTAACTAGAGAAATGCTTAGTAAAGAGCTTATAGATTAATATGTTTATCAGTTTGGAGCATTCTTGTTTAACTCTCCCCTAGTAGCTTACCTTACTTGTGTACTGGCAAAGTGTGATCCTCTGTAACCATTCATTATTTCTGAATAGCATTTGTGACATGGACTTCATTTTTTTTTCTCAGAAATTCATCTCAGAAGGGAAGGATAGAGGAAGATATTTATGATGAAATGATGTCAACCATTGAGGGCCTCAGTTCAACTAAGTATGCAGTATTTTATTTTTTTCTTCATCCTTTCTTTGAGAATAATCTGTGTTCTCAATTAAGTCTAGATATAAAATTTACTTCTCAAAAATGAAAAGTTATCAGGGCTCTTGTCTTGCCTTTTTTTGGTCTTTGGTTGGTTATTTACTTATTTTAGTTCCTTTTTGATTTTAATTTGAATATAATGAGGTATTACTGCATTATTATAGCAAGAAGCCAATGGTTAGTACTATGAAAGAGGAAAATTTTTGTTTCTTTTGAGCCAAGCTGCAGTGTAGGATGGGATAGGAAGTTAATGTTTGTGTTCTGTTTATTAAAATAAGAATTGTTGGGAAAGGGGGTGCAGTCCATAAAAACCTATGTATGAAGTCAAAACACAGTTTTGGAGGTAATAATAAAATTGCTTTAGTGTCTGGCTCACTGAGGGTACATGGTAGCATTTGGCAATATATTTGCATTTAAAAGCAGACAAACACAGGCAAAGTTGCTGGTTTGTTTGTTTGTTTGTTTTTTAAATTAAAATTACAGTATTTCAATTCCTGTCAAATGTAAACCAGTGAATTCGAGAAGAAAAAAATCTTTGTCTCATCTGAATTACAGCAAGGCTGTTATCACTGTAGCTCAGCTATTCCTAAGAGGAGCCGGGTATTATTTAGGGGAAGTTTTTGGAGGCTGTGAGCCATCTCTAACATCTGCTATTATACTTTCCTATTTGTAAACCTTAGGGAAAGTCTGCGGTTTTGTTTTGCGTGTAGCTGGCAGATGCTGCTGTCTGTGAGTGTTCTGGATCTGCCTGTCAGCTACATGAAAACATAACTGCTCACATGTTACGCTGTGATACACAAGGACCTTGCAGAACTGTCAAATGTGTGTAAACCAGTGGCACTCTCACCCTGTATATTGTGGAGTCTCAACTACAACGATGCTGTTGCATACTCTTCTTGGCCTGTTGCGTGCATTTTGTAACATGTGTCTCTGAATGCAGCCCGTGGTGCGGCAAGTCAGATGACTTCTGTGGATTTTCACTGATTTTTGCAGAACCTGGTCTTGAAAAAGAGGTTGGTAAGAGCAAAATAATCCTTTTTGGTGTTTGGTTTGCACTTCAGAGCAATATTAGAATATCTTTGAAACTATCAATCTGAAACTGTTTCAATCTGAAACTGGATTCTGGAGATGACTGCATATCCAAACAGGTTTTTGGTAACTAATGGGAAGCAGATCTCAGAATTCATTTCAGTTGGTCATTCTTCCTTGATAATGCTAATTCTGTCGATTAAAGGAGATTGTCTCTAATCTGTGGTTAAATTCTTGCCATAAGGCAGTCAGAAGTTTGGCAACGTTACTATATGAAGAACTTACCTCAAAAGTAATGAGATTTAAAAAAATATATAAATTTCTGCGTCTGTAATGACAATATTTTGCTCTCTGTGGTTGTTTCATGATAAGTACAATACAGTTATTTTTTATGTACAGTGTACTTTTTCTGTTTGAATAACTGTTCTTTAATTTACTGTGCTGTGGTGTACTGTATGTAGTTACAAGGGGTGTGTGTGTGTGTATATATATATATACACACACTTCAGGTTTACTTCTGTGTCTATCCCTTTTAACAAGGATTTTGGCGATGTGCATTGGTGAAGTGCTTGTTTACATACTTGGTGGATTTCTCTCTAGATTTGAAATTGTCCTTTGGACTGGGCTGTTTTTCTTGACTCATGATCAAGTGAATTTTATTTGGTGATTTTCTTTTGTTCTCTTTTAGTTCTATTTGTATTTTTAATAGTGCAGTATAAATTTGCATATATATATCAGCACAAAAATGTAACAGAATTTTTAAAACCCCTGGAATTATCCTTAAGCTTTATTATAATTTATGTTTCAGTATCGCACCATTCCTATTCCAAAACTGAAGAGTTACTTCGTGTGTGCCAGTTTTGTGTTCCTCTGTATATTTCTGATACAGATGTTTATAATGCCAAAGTAAGTGTCAGTATTTTTAATAATTTATTATTCAAATTAACCAATAACTAAAGTGAAATTCACGTGCATGAAACTTTTTAAAGTTTTCTGGAGTTCCTGAGAGTTTACATTTAAGGAACATAAACCTCTTAAGACTAATTTGCCCCTTAATAAAGGAATGCATTCATGTTGTTGGCATAAGAGCCTGGATGTCAGTATGAAAATAAAATAGTGTGGTGGTTTGGGTGGATTCACCCAATAATATTTCTTGGGTGGATTCACCCAGAAATATTTCTTCAGTATTATGTTTGCTTAGTACACACGGAGGGATGATCAGTTACGTGAGAAACACTATTTTATAAGAATATTTCACTGTAAGCACACTGAGTGAGCAATAGCAAAATGGGATTAGCTGGTTAAAATGTCCTCAGTGATCCTGTTGTCTGTAGAGATACAAGGAGGAACTTTGAGCTGCTTCTCATACCTCTGAGAAAGCAGATATTGGATAATTCTGAACCTTTGACATATTTGTTTTTCATGGCTGTTGCAGCGCGATTTCCGTGGCGTTTATGCATGGGATAGTTGTACAGGCTGTCAGCAACAGAGCAACAGTGACCTGTGCAATGTTCTGGTCATCCAGGGCTATTAGAAGAAAAAATGTATTTAAATTTGGAGAAACACTGTGGCAAACATTAGCACGAACTGTGGTTTGAATTTCTTTTTCATTTAAAACTGGTTTAATGCTTTCTCTTCTGTTTAGAACTGCAAAACTAGGAATATCCTTTGGCATTGTTGCAGTCATCATTGCACTTATTTTGTTTGTCTGCTTTGCTGAGAAATGTATGGTAAGTTTATTAAAAAAACAAAAAAAATCCTATTTTCAAGAGTGGATGGATGTAACTTGGCAATTTGGTCTATCTTTTAGGATGATGAATTAAGCTGTTAATTTCAATAGGAATTACAGGAGGCTTGAACTTCAGGTTACCAGAAGATTTCATTGCCTGAAACAGATTTTCATGTCTGAAAATTCTCACAGTTCTTCAGAATTATTTGGCTGCCAGGATAGATGGGTAGGAGAAAGATATGAACACTTGCTGAGTGGGGTTGGGTTTTTAAAGTTTATTTTTATTTTAAAGTTTGTCCTTAATGGTAGTTTTGGGTGTAAATCCTGATATTTTCTATGCTGGAAACAATATTAAAATCAAAGTAAGTTTGAATGCAAGATTAGTTTTCATAATCATTTATAAAGCCCTATGAAAATTACAAACATATGAATAATTTATTTGCAACAATTTTATAGCTGTTAGAATTCCAAATTCACCATTACATCAATTAGGACACTTTGCATTTGTAGTTCCTTTTTCTTTGCATTATTAAATGTATGCAATTACTATTTAAAAATATATGGTGACATAGAGACAGCCCATAGTGACACAGAGTTAAATGATACAGTCCAAGAAATGGGTGGAGGCAGGGGTGAGGGCAGGAAGGGATTTCAGAGTTCCTTACACTCAGCAAATCTGTCTGTGCCAGACCAAGGGTGAGAGGGAATTCTGAAGTTCTGTTGAGACGTGCCACCATCATCCTGTTGCAGAGTGGTGATGGTGGTCTCCCAGGAAAACCGCCTCAGAAAGACACAGTCTCTCCCACAGCCAGGTTCAAGCTGTGTAAAAGGGAAATGAAAAAAAAATTGCACTCTAAATTGGATAAAGTTTTATCATTAATTTAAAAGTACAGTTAGCATCTATGGTTTTTAGTGGATGGATTTATATATATATATGTGTGTATGTATGTTTATGTAGAGAGGGAGATGTGTGTGTATATGTATATATGTATGCACATATGGATTCTACATACGTAAAAACACACAGAGGAAAGAAAAAGAAAATTCCAACATTGCAATTGCATCAGTCTGAGTTTTAGGCTGGGGGTGTTTTGGTATAGCATCCTTGAACAGAGCTTGCAATCGGTGACAGTATATGCTTTACTAGATGGTTTTCTCTATAGCAACAAATGGAGGCTAATAAGATGGCAAGAAAGGGAACTGTCTCAAGTTAGTAATCTGAAAATGTAGTTCCAAATATACCACTATAGCTCTATAACTAAAAAATACAACATAGGTTGTCACTGTGTTTTTAGTAATATTTCTCTAGAACTTCCTATGGAATCATAATTTTATACTTTTAAAGCAGAAATTCAGAAAATTTTAGCACCCAGCTTCTTTGAAATAAGGAAGCATTATCCCCATTGTCAGTTGTGGAAAGGCCTTAGGCATTTAATTTGAATGACTAGATTCAGAGTTCTAAATTAGGATTCGAATTAAGACTCTTGACACTCTCCTGCAGACAAAAAGTAGTTTATACTTAGAAATATTTCTTCCCTTGTCTCAAAGTGCTACTGAAAGAAACTAATTGTGTTTACAGAAGTGCTGCTCAGAGCGGTGGCCTTTCCTGCGCCATCTCTGTGCTGTTTCAGAAAAGGTGGAAGCGATGCCTTTACTGAGGCTCCCGTTGGCAGTCATCACTATAGGTGCCTTGCTGATTATAGCCATTTTTAATTTGGTAAGTAGTTACATTATCTTTATTCTGTTAATTTATTGTAACATCCACAGTTTAAGTAACTTCTTGTATTCTTTTCATCAAGTATCTTCCTTTTTGCTGCTGTTCCTAATGTCTGATTTGCAACATGAGTTGATTTACACCAGGGTAATACCCGATGTCATGTAAAAGCATGAAAAGTAAAAATTCCCAGTTTGTAGAACCCAAAGTTCATGTGATAGACTTGAGTTCTATGTTACAGCACCTTTTCTCGCTTTCAAGATGGCATTTCTAAATACTATTGATTATAACCATCATCACTAAGATTGTCTTCCATTTTTTTTAATGTGGGTTTAAATGTTTGACTGCAGTGGGTAGAAGTTTAAGCAGTTTACTGTGCTATCTGCACTAGCTAGTAATGGTGCAGATGGGGGAGGGGAGAATATAGCTTGACTCTATTAAAACCAAAGACATTATGGGTAGTTACTGCTGGACTAAGATGCAAATGGAGTCTGCCTTCTAGCTTTAGTGGGAGTATTGCACGTGGGGTACACACATTTGAAAAACAACCCTTTGGAATAACCTCATGCTCAAAACAACTCTGCTGTGGGTTTTTTTTTTAAGCAAGCTTTGTGTGACATCCCACGTTAACAGTGGAACCTATCTGACAGCTACTAGGAGTGATGTCCCTGTGATTCCATGAGCTCGGTTTGCCTTCCTTCTGGTACCATGGGGAGTTCATTCTGAAAGCTGTACTGCAGGAAACAATTTTCTTTTGTAGGGTTGTTTTTCTGCTGTCTTAGGTCCTTGAATTGAGTCACAGTGGTGTCATGTGAACACCACTAGAGACAGCCTAAAAAGAAACAGGAACAGCAGCTGTGAAACTGGGGGTGAGATAGGACCACATGTTTGTGCCACTTGGCTGTTAGATTAGCATAGCCATAATGTGAAACTTTACCCCAAATTAAAAAAATAAGTAAACACTTGGCAATTTTAACCTTCTTGCACCTTGTGTGTGCATGTATGTTTAGTAAAACTATATGGGATATCATTATATTTCAACATTTATATTGCAGTAGCTTCAATATTTACATTGCAGGAGCACTGAAAGGACAGTCAGATCAGGACTTGTATAATTTATGGGAAAAAAACCTTAAGATTAGTGACCACCTGGTGATGAGTTTGTATGATGGTTTTGTTGTTGTGTTTTGGTTTTTTATTTCCTAATAAGACTACTGAAAAGAACAAACCTGCAAACTTCACTGGATCAAATGACCTGTGTGCTACCACCTATGTGAGTAGACTGCTGTCTTCATTTCTAAGATTAAAATTAAATGAGTTTTGGATGGTGTGTATAATACAGATGGATGGCAGCATTTTGATAGCAATTTAATATCTTTTTATAAAGACAGAATTTAAAATCATTGAACATGAAGATTTACTCTCGCCACAAGGCAGTTCTAGGGGTATTTTCTATGCTTTATTGTGCATCTTTTAGGGATATTGAAAAGTCTGGAGTACTCATGGATAAAGCTGAAGTCTTGACTTATTTTAGTTACTCAGCACCTTTGAAAAGTGTTCTTTAACATTTCTATAAGGATAGATTCAGCACTTAATAATGACACAAAAGGGTTATTTCTGATGATTTCATTTTTTATCTCTTTAATTCCAAACTAGTATTCTGTTTTGAGATCATCTGAATGTTTGGGATGCTCTTTTGTCATCTGGCCACCACTTTAGATGATGGACATATTTTTGAACACTGCACAGCAGGTTGTGTGAGGACCCTTTCATTCAAATCCTTATGACAGGTGATAAGTTGCACATATATAATGTACATTGTACTTAACTGGTAATTTTCTGTTCTTGCATGTCTGTAAATCAGCCTTTTGGAAACGCGACTCAGTCCTGCGTTGAGGAAACTGTAAGTAGTGAATATGTGTTACTTTAAAACCCAGATCTTTGACTATTGTGTGTATTGCTGACAACAGGCAGGTTCTGTAGCTGTGTAGAACACAGCTTGTTTAGGTATCTGACAGCAGAAGAGTTCCGTGAAATCAGGATGTTTCAGCTGCTGTTGGGGTGCTGAATGAGGTATGGCTTTGCCATTTTTTGAAAGTTCAGACTGAAAAGTAGGTCTAGAACTAAGGAGGAAGAAGCAGTAGAGCAGGGTGATGATTATGTCTGAGTCTGAGGGCTGAGAGCTGTACTCACAAGTGTCCCAGTAAAGTGTCTTGATAGTGTGAAAGCACTTAAATGGCCAGCAGACCTGTGTCAGTGTTCTCTGCATAGTGGTTTTGTTTTTAGTTGCAAACACTTCAGGGTTGCAACTGGAAGTGTTCATTACCTTTTGGAGGTTAGACTTAGTGCCTTTAGGATGACAGAATTGGTACAATACGTTACTATACGGGCTCTGATCCTTAGTTGTCCCATAAATTGTTCTGGTTTCAGTCCCTTCAGCAGAAATATCAACTGCTTAGCTAAGAATCTCCCACATCTGTGGTAGGTCTGTGCTATTATGGGTGAAAACCTGTGCTTTATGCATAGAGAAGTAAACTCTCGAGGAGCAGAAGCTGAGGTAAAGTATGCTAGCTCATGTTCTTATACCTGTGCCAGCGGCTGCAGGGAGCAGTCCTGTCTGCGCAACGCACTTCGTACCACCTGAGAGTTTTAATGCTCCCAGCTGTGTGCTGATCTTGGACACCACGCCTGAACTGTCACTCCTCTGGGAGATTTTTCAGTAATTCCTTTGGATAGTGGCCCGAGCTGGATAATGCTTAATTAGCATCAAAGTTCTTATGAAGGAGCTCTGTCTAAGGCTGGAGAATAGGTCATGGCCATCACGGGTTACAGGTGGGGGAGATGGGAATGTGGTGTCTGCTTAAGGTTACAAAGTGGGGGCACTGTCAAAAATAAGACCACAATGCTGGAGTCCCTGGTTCAGAGCCTGTTCACTCAACTATGAGACTACTTTAGGTTAGTCTTCAACTTTAAATAATTGCTTAAGTTAATAGACTTGAGAAGATAAATTCTCATCACTCTTCACTTTTTATCTGACACTTCTTATGTTAGTGTGATGCTTTTTGTTTAAATCTTTGTTTATCTTTAACAAAAAAGTAAACTAAAAAAGTATTAAGTTCAGTCTTTTAGTGCAATTAAAAATAAAGCTTTAAGTGTATTTAGCAAATGATTGCAATTTATTCTATTTAAATTACAATGATCATGAACTTAGAGCATTTGCTGTGGTTTTAAAGTCTTATGCATAAAGCCTGAATAATGCAACTGCCCTTTAAATTCTTCTCTTACAGTATTATGCTTACTGCTGCATATTGGGGTTCATTGCTTGCTCAGTATTTCTTCAGATGAGCTTCGAACTCAAAGTTCTCCTCCTGTCCATTGCAGTGACTGTATACCTCGTCATTTTCAATACCCTTCAGCACAGAAACTTGAGCTCCTATGGCAACAGTACCAGGTGCAGTGTAAAGTTTCTTATAATTGACAATACTGTTTAAATAAAGGAGGTTTTAGATTTTTGTAAACTTACTGGAATGGTGAAATATCAAAACAATGTAAGGTCAGAAAGTCAGATAATACAAACCTTTCTGTAAAGTTAATGACATGGAAATCGTATTAGACCATATAATTTTTTTCTTTTTTTTTTTTTAAGAAAGCCTGTGTTTTCTGAGCAATTCTCTAATATGGCTTCTGAGATTTCTGGAAGCTTATCTTACATTAAAGGAAGTAGAATATTAATCTCATAAGAAAGTTGATCTTCTGTTAAACTATGAAGAAAAGCCTTGATAAAAGCTGTGCTTGTGAGACCTTGCGAGTCAATAGAGTAGCGAACTCTTCATCTACTGACCTCACTAACTGCACATATTTTGAGAAGTAACAGCAATTTACCTGAGCTACTTGAAGAAACTACAAAAATACTTGAGAAATCATATGTGGAAGGGTTTTACTGTTCACTTTTAAGTCTCTCTCTCAAATTCTTAGCATAGTTTCCTAGCTGAAGATTAGGATAAATTCATTTTGCAGAGGCTAACTGTGAGCTGTCAGCACAGCTTAAAAAAGCCTAAATGAGCTCTTAATTTAGCCTCTTAATTGCAGGCTATTCATGTGATGAGAATTTAGTTTGTTGCATTTGTGAAAATGAATAGATGTGATATGACAGGTGTCTCAGATTTGTATGGAACTATATACAGGTGTGATTCAATGGCTGTCTTTGTTTTAGCAATTCAAGGTTTTATTTGTTATCTTTCCTTCCACGAGTAAGTTTTTTTTCCTACTTCAAGGTTTTGTTGGCTGTGTTTTTGTAGGGCAGTGTGGGGAGGAAAGCTGCAACTCAGTGCAATGGAAATTAAGATGGCTTCATTAAGATAAAGCCATGTTTACTTCAACATCTTGCTCCAATAGGTATTTAACAAGGTTTCAGCACCCATTTTGTCCTTAGGTGAAATGCAGTTCATGTGCTGAACTGAACGATAATCCTTTCTTGTTAGGAGCACAGGACCTATAATCAGAGAGCCACTGGCACAAATGAACATTGGCGTTGGTGGTCTGTGTCTGAACAGAGCCACCCTCTTCTGCCGTGCTCTTCTTCCCCTCCCCTTTCCCCCCAACCCTTTATCATGTGGATTTTCTTAAAAGGACACAGATGACTTTGTATCACTTTCTTGTTTTCAGGCTTTTCATCAAAGAGCCAAGGATAATGACTAATTTATATCTGGTTCTGTTTTACATAACCCTAATTTTACTTGCAAAACAGGTATGTATTTAAAAAGCAATAGGTTAGTTCTTTTACTTGCAGCAAGTTGATTTAAATAAAATGCAAAAGTATTGTTCACTGAAATTATGCACTAAATTAGTGTGTGTATATATATATTTAGTATTCTTGTACTTAGTTGTGTATAGTGTACTTATTTGTACTTAGTTATAGATAATGCCAAAATTTTTACTGTGAAAGGGTGGAAACATTTTTATATTTTTCAATAGTGTTTGCACTACAGAAGTTAGAACTTGCAATTTCTTCCAATCTGGATCTATCTGTATGTATATGTCAATATTCATCCTACATCAAGGCAATAATTAAAAATAAAAATAATTACCATATTATTAAAATGTAACTTTGGTAAATATACCTGATGGCATTCATTCATTCATTCATTCATTCATACCGACTGCTTCATATTTTTCTGACCTTCATTCTCAAAGTACATTTTTCATAACTATATAGGCTCAAAAGACCTTGAAGAAACTTACTGCTACTACACGTTTTGAATAAATTGACTAATATTTTTCAGCAAGATATGACATAGATTTAATTTATCATATTTGGTCCCTTTGCAGATTGACTATTACTGTCGGCTGGATTGTCTGTGGAAGAATAAGTTTAAAAAAGAACATGAACAGTTTGAAACGATGGAGAACGTTAACAGGCTTTTGCTGGAAAATGTACTTCCAGCACATGTTGCTGCTTATTTCATTGGTGAAAAACGAAATGAGGTATGTTTAATCTCTGCTAAGTGAACAACAGTAAATTGGACTTGGGACATAAAATGCTAACAAGCATACAGAAGACTACAAGGTTCTGCACTTTCTGCCTCTTGTTTTTATCCCAAGACCTCTGTAAACCCAAGAATGTACTATCCAGATGGCCTCAAAAAAAATGCAAACTTCTAGTGTCAGTCTCTGAAATCTGTTTTCAGAATTGGTAGTTCAGGTTCAGGACACCGTTTGAGTTTGGCAAATATTTAAAAAGGATTCACTGCTTTCCAAAGACCATATTTTACCAGAGAAGATAGGCCTTCTTTTTAGATAATTTAGTTGAGCAACAGATAGTATCTCCTTGGTAACAACCCCAGTGAGAATGTCATCAGTAATGATTTATTTATTTATTTATTTATTAAGACATCCATCTTACTCTGCCAACATGTTATCAAATAAATATTGCTGCTTTCATATGGTAACTGGCAGAATCTTTAAGGTACGCAGATATCTCATCTTTTCCTTTGCCAAATCAACTTTGTTAATGTTTCTGATAAGATATACCCACTGTAAAGTACTGTAGCTGACTTCATAGGAAAACTGTAATTTGATTACTGGTTACGAACAATAATGGTGGTTTTGAATACCTGTGGTGGAAGGTGGCTGCTGACAATGTGTGAATATATTGTTTCCCTGTAGGACTGGTACCATCAATCTTACGACTGTGTCTGTGTCATGTTTGCATCGGTACCAGATTTTAAGGTGTTTTATACTGAATGTGATGTCAATAAAGAAGGCCTCGAGTGCTTGCGGCTGTTAAATGAAATCATTGCTGATTTTGATGAGGTAAAATAAAATGTTTCACTATATCTGTGGGCACAAGAGGGGGAAAAAAGGCTGTTATGCTGAACTGATATTCTGAGTTCAGCCTTGCAATCTTGAAATACATATTCCCATCTGATGGGGTTTTTCAGTTTTTTCAATTACATGACTGATGAATTAGTAGTATGGTTTGAAAGTCCCGAATTTCAGTACTTTATTTCATTACTTCATTTCTCCTATGAGCAGGTAGGGCAAAACTCAGTACTTTCTAATCCTGATGTGATTGATAGTATTCCTGAAGATGCTCAATGCTTATTGTAGACAGTATAAGATTTCTGGTTAAATCCCACACTGAAATATGGCATTAAATTCTCAAGTTTCTGTTTTCCTTCCCTTCGAACAGCTCTTGTTAAAGCCTAAATTTAGTGGTGTTGAAAAAATAAAAACCATTGGAAGCACTTACATGGCAGCAGCTGGTCTCAGTGTTACACCAGGCCAAGAGAACAACCAGGTACCTTGTCTCTGAAATCTGCCTTCGGTGTTCTGTGTGTATGTGGGTGTGTTTCAAAGTCACGGAATGTAATGTGATATAAAAGAGAAAGTAAATCACCGAGGGTGACTTTCTGAAATGCGGAAAGGATGATAAAAGTGTATTGTCTCCTGTTGAATTCACTATTTATTTCCTAGTTCCATTTTTTTTTTCCCCTAAGCAGGTATTAAGTCTGAAACCCCAGCATACTTTTTCCATCTTTAATTTTTGATCCCGGTAGCTGAATGTTTCTAGATGCAGAACAGGATAGCCCTAGTAACAGGCAAGTCAAAGAGCAGCTGCCAAAGAAAAGGCCATGTCAGAACTGGACAGTAAGCTTTTTGTGATACCTGAGAACTGGCACAAAAAAGAGAATCCTCAAGTGCCACATTAGATCTGAATCCGAAACTACTTGTCACCCAGAAGAATTAAAACCAACTTCTGTACTCAGGCTGTTTCACTCTAGCAGGTTTGTGTATGACATTAGGATGCACATATGTAATATATACAAAACATGTAAAATTAAATTTGGAATCCTAAAGGACAAACAGAAATTAGAAATTCATTACAAAATTTAATTCTGTCCTGCTTGTTGCTTCCTACCCATTCCAACTGTGGTTTTTGAAATCCGTTTTGAATGTTGAACTGCGCAGTTCTGCACAGTTACAAGGATGAGTGCTCTCATCCTTATATACATTTTATTCACTAGTAGTACTGGTTTGGTAGCCTGACACACACGGCATTCGATGTTGTAATTTGATTGTTTATGTTATGAATTGCGTAGGACAAGGAGAGACAGCATGCTCACATTGGGATTATGGTGGAATATGGAATTGCCTTGATGAGTAAACTGGATGGCATCAACCGACATTCCTTCAACAATTTCCGCTTACGTATTGGTAAGTTCAGCTTGTGAAGACTGTGAACTCTGCAGCCCCATAAAAATTAAAAATGAGGTAGGATGACTTAGGTAAATTGCTGAGGGCTGTGGAGCCTTTCCTAACACTGAACACAGTACCTGCATTAGTGAATGGTGAATAGCTGAAGGTAGTGTTGTCTAGTCTGGCTTTTTAAATATGCCAAGCTCCTTGGCAGATGGGCTTTTCTCATCACTGGAGGGAGTGATACGAAGACTGCAGCTGGATCAGTTTGGAGAAAATGATAGATGTGGATGAAGAGGGAGGTACCCTGTTATTAACTGTTGACTAAAGACAGTATTGTCATTATACAAATGTTTATTTCTATATATTACAAGTAGAAGAGGAAGAATTTCGCTTTGGCATGAACTTTGCCCTAGATCTTTCTCAGACTTTCCATTTTACAATGAATGAGTCACTTCGTATCTCCTGAGCCTCAGTACCAATTATCTACAGAACAGCAGTAATACTGATTGCTAGAAACGTGTTGCAGAGTTCAGTTTGGGGTTTTTTTCCCTGAAGCTCATGACTTATGGCTAACAGTGAAGCTAGATGTCATGTAACCTTCTCCTTCAGTAATGACACGTGCTTTTGTTTATACTAAGGGATAAATCATGGCCCTGTGATTGCTGGTGTGATTGGTGCCCGGAAGCCTCAGTATGATATCTGGGGCAACACTGTGAATGTTGCTAGCCGAATGGAGAGTACGGGGGAACTTGGGAGAATCCAGGTAAACATATCAGCCCCGGAATGGCTAAGAAAGTATTTCTAATTGGTTATGGATTTTTTTTTAAATGTGAATGATCAGAAGAATTTCACAAGAGTTTCTAATTCTTTTCATACTAAGGTCACAGAAGAAACGAGTAAAATTCTCCAGGAGTTGGGATATTCATGTGAATGTAGGGGCCTCATTAATGTCAAAGGCAAGGGAGAACTGAGGACTTACTTTGTTTGCACTGAAACTGCCAAATTCCAAGGTATGGGACTGAACTGAGGCTATGATGAAGTTAATCAGACAGACTTAGAACTGCCTCCCTTCTGTGAAGACTTAGAATTTCCCTCCTTATGTGAAGGACTTTATTCTGAACACACATATATACACTATTCCTGGTTCTTCTACATCTCAAGATAAAGAGAATGATTTTTTTTTTTTTTAAAGTTCCGAAAAGTTCTTGTAAGACATGTAACCACCAGTCTGAAGAAGACTTACCTTTTCCTGAAATGATTTGAGGATGTAGCTGGAATTGCCATGCAGCATTTTCAGTTAGTTTCTTTCCTTACCTGCACTGTGGGAGTCTTAACAGCTCCAGTAACAACCTACGTGGATGCACTGTAGAACTCGTTACCACGTTAAACCGTTCCACTGCTTCATTCTTTGACGCACACCCGCTTACAGTATTGCCTTTGTCAGACATGTGAGATGATACTCTGGGCACTGCAGATCCTGCTTTTAATGCTAAACAGACTTCACAGCAGAAGACAGCTGAATAATGGAGAGAGGAATGCAAGTAAACTCAAATATATCATGTGATAACTCTGCTGAGCAACTTCGGGGAAAAAACCCTAATTGCACAGTATCGGATCACGTTTTCCTGATCTTTGCTTCCTCCACAGCAGTACCTGGTATTGCGCAAATGTCTTCATGACCAACAGCTGTTCAGAAATAACTTTCATCTAGTTCAGTGTTTACATTATATTACATGTTCTCCTTTGTATTTCTGTGCCTCTGTATCTAGTATCTGCATGCGCATTTTATACAATCACATACGAGAATGTCTTTAAAATTCTGGCTTTAAATTTCAAAAAATGTACCTGATCTAGAGGAGCACCTGCAGTTCATCCTGCGTGCTTGGTTAGACAGGCTCTGCAAACAGCTTGTATCCCTGACACCCGGCAGGAATTCTGCCTGCTGACTGCATTCTGGAGGGCACTTATGGATGAAAAAATAATCTGCTTTGAATTGTTTGGAAACTGAAGAACAGAACTAATAAGATAGTATTAGAAACAGTCTCAGATACTGTACAAACAGAACCACGGCTGAGGTGGTTGGTTTGCTTTTTTTTCTGTTCTTAGTTCTTTGCTTTGACTAGCCCCTGGCTGGTTTCTATGCCTTTTAAAGGCAATGCAGTTTATGAAACAAATTGGTTTTGAAGGTTACAAAAAGATGTATGGAAAAATGTATTCATAATGGAAATGTTTCAGCAGAGCCTCAAAACTGAAGTATGCATAGAGCATTAGTGAGATGACCGCGGAAATTGACTTGCTGTAGGTTAGTTTGTAAAGTTTTTAAGCTGTTAATGGCTTTTGCCAATTTCTAAGTTAGTATTTTTCTACTTATGGCAATCAGTCTATTTTCTGTTGGTGGAGACGATAGTGTTTTGTAAGGCTGAATTACATGTACTGACTAAGGATGGATTCCCCTCTCCCCCATATACCACACGTAGTATGACTAACAGCACAGTCATTAATGAGTCCAACATCTGTTTTGTTAAGCCTTACTCCTCTACAAACAAAGCAGCATTTACGAGTATTTCTGGGTTTAGTACTAAACCATACTGGAAAAGTGTTTAACAAGCAGTCCTATGCATCACTGACGCTTTTTAATTACTGTGTAATTTCTTTAGAAGATGAAGTGACTATGTTTCAAGACAGGAACAAATCTAAATATTGTCCTACTGTGGATTAAAAATTGTGCTTATCGCCTTTGTCAATTTGGTAGGTCAAAACTGCGTTTGTTTTAAGTCTCCAAAGGAAAAGAGCACGTTACAAAACCCTAGTTTGAGGTTGTCTGGTTCATGTATGGATTCTGCTGAAGAAGGAAGTTTCATACGTGGTGTCTTGCCAGTATAGGGTCAGTGTTGTAGTTGAATAACCTTTCAAACAGCTTTTGCTACTCTTGTATGTATGTTGTGTATTTGTAGTAACAGATGCTCAGCAAGCATTTGTTTTGAGATATTTATTTATTTTTTTGTAAGGACCATGCATGTGTCAGAGGCTCCTTTCAGCAGTCTTTGATCTCATGTTTGCTAAAGTGACTATTTGCCTCATGAATATATTTTGAAAAGTGCATTATGCCCATAGATGGAGCTGGCTCTGAAGTGTTTCTGTTCACAGTAGAATGTAGGTGTAAGTTATCTATCAAAGAAAATTCCCTGTCTGTAACAGCATTTTGAAATGCTTTTGTTTACATTTTACTGCCTGTCAGGCTACTAACTTGCTTGGGCATAACTTCAACTTAACCTCATTGACAGGAGTGGGCTAAAGAGCCGTAGCTTTCAAACTGGAAGAAGTAGGACTGTGTTGGTTTTCAAAGGACATCATGCACTTACACTGCTCACTGAGCGTTCGTGCTCTGTGCCAGGCATCCTCGGAGAAGTTAGAAACTGTGTGTAATGAAAAAGGGGTTGTATCTGAGGATGACTTTCTAATTTCTCCTCAAAACTGGAACTGTCTAATATGAGAGGTATACTCAACCACAGAAAATGTTCAATTTAAGAAGCAACTGTATTTAAATAATTGTTTTCAGCAGTCCTTTTGAGAGCGAACTGTGAAATTTAAGATTGATGAAATAACCTTCTTAGAAAAATCTTCTTTACAGCATTATTGCTTTCTTAAACTGAAAAAATGGCACTGTATCTAATTTGAAGAGCTAATAATGTCTTGAATTAGCAATCTATTTTAAAGAACAAACTTTTGTTTTTACCATTAAATAAAAAAACTTCCTGAAACGTATTTGGCTTTGCGATTATTTTGATGAAGAGTCTCATGAAAAGGAAGCTCATTTCTTATACTCCTATAGGGTTAATGAGGTTGGTTTTACTCATTAACTCAATTTATTTTTAAAAGGTTTGTGTAAGTGAAAATACGGAGTGTGACATACTTGCATTCAACAGCTAAAGGATAATTTCAGTACTGTTTTCTGTCACCTGTGCCTTCTGCTGCACTCTATGAAAGGTAAGTGATAGGAAATAAGATGCTATAGAGTTAGCCAATAATGATTTGGCTGGCACAATAGTTGTGCATCTTGTCTTCTCTGGTAGCATGAAAATGACTTAAATATTAATGGAAAAAATAATTCCCTGGAGTAATATTTCAGCTGCAATTACCTAGAACTGTGAAAAAAATTCTAGTGGCAACTTACTAAGACCTGTTCTGGGACAACTCAAACTACTGGAGGAAAAATCCAGTTTGGCAGTTCAGCCTTTTTGGAATTAATTTTAAGAACTGTTGAAGTTTAAAAACAATTAAATAAACACTTCTGCAGCTGCTTTTAGAGAGGAAGAAGGAAGGGAGTGTAAGGATGATGTTGGTCACAAGACTGGAGGTAGAGGGTGGAATTCATTATTTGCTTGGCCTTTAAAGTTACCTCTTCAGTTCTGTGCCACTGCGCACATCAGCAATTGCTCATCAGGTAGGTGCAGCTGAAACACTGTGTCATTCCTGTTCCAGGCCAAGGGTACACTGGGGTAAAAAGGAGCAACACTGAGAAATACTTAAGGCTGCCTGTGACAGAAACTATGTGCAGCACTGGGCAATGGTGTGAAGGGAACCGAGGAGCACAGGGAAAAGCCTACCTGTGCGAGAGTCTCTGGCTCCATACACAGTCCTGCAGAGCTGCCTGAATGCTCCTCCGTGCCCGAGAGCTGTCTGGGCAGTCTGCTTTGGCAGCAGTTAGGGTGAACAAGGAACTGACTTCTAATGCTGGGGAGTTTTCTAAAGATACTCTCCTTCCTGATAAGCAAGCCTCAAACCATCCAGATAGGGGACAGTAATAAGAAGAACTGTCTGTTTGAGTGCCTCAGAGCTGACTCCTCTATCAATGTGGTATTTTTAATTACTGGCAGCAGGTGGGTTTGTTAGTCTCACCTTATCGTCATGATACGTTTCTAAGCTTGCTCTTGAGTTTTAGAATACAATGAGCAGATGGTGCTGCTTCTCTAAGAGGCAACTGATCAGTGTTCAAAATCTCACAGAGCTGATCTTTTGTTAACTCATCTGGCTCCATCAGTTTATGTAAAAAGTTTATTTCTGTTCCTCATCATCGCAAGTGTTGCACAATAGTTTTAAAAAGGGAAGCTTGCATGTTCAGACCCTTAGGATTTTTGCCCCAACGAGAAGATTCAGATACAGAGTCTATACACTGCTTTTAGAAACTTTTGGTTGAGCCCCTGCACCATACCGAGACACGCTTTCACTTATGCTTTGACTTTTCCAGACACTTAACAACCTAAAAAAACTTAAATCCTGCAGAGGTGCTTTAAAGTAATAAGGAATGCAAAAAGAATAATTTAGTGCATTTTTGTAGCAGAAGTAACTATTACAAACCATTCCATTTTAAATGTCATCAGTTCCAAAATTTAATAAACAAAAGTAGTTTAACACACAATATACACATGCTCGGTGAATGCACCTGAAGGAAGTTTATCTGGTTCTTAGAGAAGCAAACAAACACCTGTAAACTTAACTGAGGCTTCAGATTGTAACTGGACCACACTCATTTTCAGGGATGGTGACAGTCTTTTTAGGTTCTTGAAAGTCTGAAAGTTTAAAACAGATACCAGGCCAATTAGCATATGTAACTTTTAAATTAAAGAAATGCATATAGACTGAAGCACTTCTAAAGTCATTTGCTATTTGTGCAGATAGTCCTGAGGTAGCTGTGTGTGCTAGTACAGTCCAAGAAACTACTGGCTTTCAGTTGGTTCTGTTACCTAGCCTCTCTTGTACAGTGCTAGTGTTCTGGTGTTTAGCTGAAACAGAGCTGGGTTTCTTTTTAGTAGCTAGAATGGTGCTGTGTTTTGGTTTCAGCCTGGGATTTGTTGTGAGAGAAACACTGATAACTCACCAGTGTTTGCATTTTTGTTGCTGGAAGTGAAGGACTTTGTGTTCTGTTAGTCCACAAGCACAAGATCTAAGGAGTGAGGAATATTTAAATTAATAAGCTAAATTGCCAATGGGATATTCCATGTCATATCCCATCATGTCCAGTATATC